TATAGACATCAAAACTGACATCAATAAAGCCTCAAACAGGAAAACACTTGGAGGTTGAATTTTGATTATTTGCAGATTATCTAGAATAAGCGGGAGAGAGATTCTTGGAAAGAAAGCATAGAGAAATATTTCAATAGGTTCAACATCATGCATGTTGGCTAATCTGACATTATAAAGTCGTATTATCTACACTTATTATTCACTCATCAACTATTTTATGTTTTCAAGACAGTGTATGTTAAATAGGCTAATCCAACATTATAAAGTCGTATTATCTACACTTAATATTCACTCATCCACTATTTTATGTTTTCAAGACAGTGTATGTTAAATAGGTTAATCCAACATTTTGTAGATGCAATAAATTGTTTAAACTCACAGAGTAATTTTAATATTCATTACATCATGTCATTTTACATAGTTCTATTTCGATAAGTTCGCCTTATAGTTTTTTCTTGTTTGAAAGGTATAATACTATGATATTTTTTAATTTTACAAATACAGTTGATCTTTCAAAGATGGGATGAAGACTGAAGTTTTCAAAACAAAGTCCTCAAATTCTTTTGAGATTTAAAAATGAACTATTTCTTCAAAAAAACTCTCTATTTGATGAATGATTTTTATAGGCTTCAACCTTCGTATTTCTCATTTAATTTTCAAAATATCATTTTCTTTACAAACAATGCCATAATTTAAAGGGTGGAACGTTTTATAAATAAATAATTATTTATTTATTTACAATAAGTTTTATATTTAGCTGCTTTGCAGCGGGTACAAAACTAATATATATATATATATATATATATATATATATATATGTATGTATGTATAGAGAGAAAGAGTTTGGTTCAAATGTCAACCTAAACTATTGTGTTAACTTTGTTAACCATTTTCAACCAATCACAATCCATCTTAGTATTAGGTTTCTATCCATAATTTAAAATTTAATGACAAAGGTACATATGTAATTTTCTTTTTTATGTAACTCCTATATCATTAATTGGAGTTACAAAACCATAAAATCCAACGATTTGTGTTAACTTATTATTAATTTTGTTATTTTTTAATATTGATTTTCTATCTCTAATGTTTATGAATTTATGATTGGTGGAGAAGACCCGGTAGTAAAAGATCTCCACTCTTCATCAATCATAATTGAATGCTAACATTAATGAGGTGCACCTAGATATACCAAATCAATTCTCTTCTAAACTGCAATTCATAAGTGGACATGAAATTAAAAGTAATCAATCGTTCATATTTCTTCTTATGTTATTACCATAACTTCTCTTCTCACATGATTCTTCCCCTATACATACGTATATATATATATATATATATATATATATATATATATACATACAATGTATACATCGGATGTTGGTTTGATGCAAGTTTTGGTAGTTTAGCTTTCGATGAGCATAAAATTCTTAGGGGAATGAAGTTGGTGGAAAATAAGGTTGAATTGAGATATGATGGAGGTGGTTAGAATCAGATTCGGATTAGATAAGAAAATAATGATAATTAATTGGAAAGATTAATGCCAATAGATTTTTAAATTTTAATTTTGAAATTTATTAAAAGAAAAAGGATAACATGGATCGATAAATTCTACTCTCTATTTTCTTACACTTAATTGTGACAAAAATTAAATACTTTTCAAAATACATAAACCATTTATTTTTATATAATATTTATGATGAATAATATTTATTTTCATTTAAATTATGATTATTACAAAAAATAAATTGTTTTTGGATTATCAAAATATTTAGAGTTTCTGAATAAACCTCCGCCTATCAGTATATTAAACCAACTATATATATTTTGTAAAGGTTGAAATCTAATGTGTGATTTCCAAAACATGTGTGTATATACATACAATCTTATATATTAATAATTTAATTTAAAGGTTGTATGATATTCTTTAAAAAACTTTGTTTAAATATTTTAATTATTACCAAACTTATGTATTTTTATTTGCATGCACCAAATTGATCCACAACCATAATATATATTATTGCAAATTCAAATGTGGTAGAAGAAGTTTAATATTGTTTTACTATAAATAATAATTCATTGGTGACCTAACTTTTTGATTATATATATGTGTGTGTGTGTGTATGGAGGTTAAAACGATAAGATGTTATTTTATAAAAATACATGAACACTTATAGACTTTCAAATTATTTAAGCCATAATAAAAATTAGAAAAAATAAAAATAATTTGTACTTATCAATAATTTTTTATTATCTTAGATTTATCTTGATTCTATAAATTTTGTTAATAACATCACAGACTTTTTATGTCGTTGCATCCGTTGTCGATAATAATGTGATGATGATGTGATTTAGTTGTAATAATGTTTTGGTAAATCTAGTCTTCTTAAGATTTGATTTTGATGTGATAAATTGAAAACCAGTGATGATTACGTCCACAATTATTGGCTATGTCTGTTCATTATGTGATATATAGTTTTTTTTTTTGCACATTTTTCCTACATGCCCTCGATATTCCTCGAAAATAGGGTAAATATTTATTTAATATGTTATGGTCCCTCGCGTCATGAGAATCGGAATAAGAAGCAATTGAGCACCTCAAGCAATAATCCTAAAACTGTGACTTTAAACAAAGGAGTTACAGTATATTTACATTTACGTAAACCATATGTATTCTCGCTTCAATCGTTTCCTATATATTCATACGTATGCACATATACACACCAATGCATTATTGAACATAACTTTTTTGTTATGTAAATGAAGGCCAAGAGATAAATTGATGTTTGTAGGTCCCATTACAAGTTCACACCAAACTTTCTAATTGAGCAAATATTTGGATTTTTGTCCCGTCGTCGACGATGAATCGTATTCAAACATTCATATAATAATTATGTAACAAACTGTATTTAATGGAACTTTTCGTTATTTAATTAAATAATAAGCAAATACGACATTTTATTTATAGGCCTAGATGGATAATAATAGTTCTTTCTCAACTCGGAGCCAATAAAATTTTCTTTTGTTTCTTCAATAAAGAAGAGCTAATTAGTTATCCATAAGCATTGCTGAAAAAAAACTGTATCCAACCATCTATAAATGGAATGATGTGTACGAATATGACCATTTACGTAATTATTAATATACAGACGGATGAGTGTCTGATGACGACCTTATCCACCATAGAATACCAATGAGTGTCTTTAATGAGTCCGATACTATGGTTTCTTTAAATTATGTCTCTTTTTCAAGCATAAAAAACAAACCATGAGATCATTCAAGAGATATAGTGGACATCCCCATCTTCCCCCACACTTTAGACAATAAAGAAACCTACCTCCACACAAACCCCTCCATTTATGAATGTTGGCAAAACAAGCAAACAAGATAACATGAACCCATCTCCATGCAAGTTGAACCAATTATGCAACCATGGGACCCTTCCTGTTGTTTCACCATTTTATGGTCAAAACATTTTTTTTATTAACCTAGATATCCAACCCGTTATGCAAGCCGACTAATCTCAGGACGACCACTTGTTTTACAGATAGCCCGAAGTCATCGCATTTGAACCTCCAAGTCCGTGCCCACAAGGGGGTTTTTATTCCTTCTTGGATTTGAACCTGAAACCTCCTGCTACTTTTGATCTTTTGAGCCAAGCTCAAACCAATCAAACACCACCCTTGTGGTTTGGTCAAAACATTTCACCTAGGTTTTCATTATTAAAAGAAAACCCAACAATAATAACGACTAAATGTTAATTTTCATCCATGGGATTGGTTCTAAAATGTTAAAATCGGTGTCTTTACCATTCAAGAAAAGATGGTACGAAAGGTTCATATGGATACTTTGATTAAGCCAAAAGATTTACGTTACCGCTTTTGTTTAAACAAGTAAATACTGATCTTTGAGGCATCTTAATCTCCATCCACAAGGTTGGTACTAGAAAAGCAAAACTACATACATGGGTCTTTCTATTGGTTAAAAAAGGATGTATGAAAGGCTTAATAGATGCATATTTTAAACAAAGGGTTTATGTTATTGGTCTGGTTGCATCAGCAAGTTGGAATCCTACTTCTTCCATGACAACTTTTTGGGTTAAACAGCATATGCTTCTAGAAATCAAAAAGTGGTTAAGAATCATAGCAAATGAAGAAGGCATATGTGAAGGATAATGGGGTTTGCAAAAGTTGTAGGAATCATATGTTGACATAATTTCCATGGCCAAATGATTTTTGAGTACCCCATGCATGTCGTCCATCCATCAATCATGGGCACCAAAAATGCATACTCCCCCCTTTCCCAAAAAAAACATAAAGAAATCTTGATCCTGTGTAGACATTCCAAGATTTCATGCCGAATTTTTTAAAGGAGAAAGGGTCCGACAAAATAATTATAAAACTTTGAGATTAATTAAAGAACCAATTATCTCGTTATCGTCATCATCATATGTTGATTATATATACACGAATCTACATATAACAAGATACCCGCAAGTGGTTATAAAGTCGTGTTTAAACCCGTATAAACTATAATTTGTTTTAATCCTAAATAATCCTGTTTAAGAACATTTAATTTGAGTGGTTTTGTCTACTTTTTGTCACCGTTTTAGCATAAATTCCTATATATTCTTTACTTAAAAACACATCTTATCACTTATACTCGTTTTTCAAGAGCCAAAAGAGAGAGCATATGCGATAGTGTGAAGGTATAAATGAATCAAAAGAGTACACTTTAAGTTTGCTTTGATTCTCCATTGGTATTGCTCCAAAAGTCAACCTATGTATAGTAAGACTTATACCTTCTTTCTTTTTCTTTATTATTTTCTTGACCATCTTAATTGCAATCCCACAGACCATGCATATTCCACTTTGTACACATTCATTCATCTCGTTTTAAAAGCATCATCATATATAGTTCTCCCCACCCCACACCCACCCCAATTATATTCCTCCATCATATATCTTGATTGAATTCAATTTCCCTTCATATACACACACCCATCTTAAACTTGTTCATAAATCCACCATCAAATGGGGTTTGACAGAGTTTGTGACACAGGACTTGTACTGGGATTAAGCCTTAATTCATCACCATCCATGTTCAAACCCAACACCATGGGTTCGGGTTCGGGTTCGGGTTCCACTAAAGAGTCTTGTGTGACGGAGAACATGCCCAGTTTTGAGCCATCGTTGACGTTGGGTCTTTCTGGCGACCATCGTGATCCTAACACTAGCTGGAAGAGACTTGTGGTTGGTGGTGGTCATGGTGGTGTGTATCGACAGGATAGTACTGTGATTAGTGGTGGAGGTTCGTCGTTTTCAAGCTTGAGTGTGAAGAGGGAGAGAGAGGTTGGGAGCGAAGAATCGGAGAGAGTTTCGAATGATAACAATTATTCATCAAGAGTGATGAGCACAACAAGTGTTGATGATGTTGAAGATGATGATGGCACTGTTAACGGTAGAAAGAAACTCAGGCTTACCAAACCCCAGTCTGCTCTTCTTGAAGAAGCCTTCGAACTTCACAGCTCTCTAAACCCTGTAAGTATAACCTCTCTCTCTCTCTCTCTCTCTATATATATATATACACACACACACACACATCACACACACAAATAGATACAGAATCTTGAATTTGAGGTGATTAATTGAGGTGAACAATGAAAGGTAATGATGATTAATGTTGACTATTAGCAGAAACAAAAGCAAGAGCTAGCACGGGAGCTAAAACTGAGGCCCAGACAAGTCGAAGTTTGGTTCCAAAACAGGAGAGCCAGGTATCCTTCAATTCTTGCCACACTTCCCAGTTTTTATTAGTATATTCTTTCAAGATCCATCGAATTCTTGACTCAAATTCATAAACTTTATAAAGAAACAGTTGGAGATGTAGCGGAAAATCTCATCTAACCCCTGGTTCGAATCCAGGTGCTACCAAATCTCTTTAGGCCATGAAAACCGTTCACCTACAATGGCTCCAAGCAATCTATGATCGAACTCACGGATTTTCTTGGATTAATCCACAAGTTTACGTGTCAAATTCAAAACCTTGTTAAATCATTTTAAACCTTCAATCACGTAAATTTAATAATTAAATTATATATATTAAGTTCTGTATATATATATCTTTATCTAAAATATGTTTTGATGTCTATCATCTCGACTTAAATGATATGCAAAGACTATATGACATGAACTACAATATAATAAGAATTTTGAGATTGTAGATGACCCAAAAAAGATTTTCTTGCTTTCTTTTTATTTTTAAACTTATTTCTATGCGTTTTTGTCAAATTTAGACAAGAAAATAAGACGTGGATTATGTGTTAATTGGACTTATTAGTAAGTTGCGTGTATACGTTGTCTTTTTCTTTGTTTCTTTTTCGACAAAATATATACAAACATCATCAATCAGATATCAACCACTTTTCGGGTACTTGTAACTCTATACTACACATAATCCGTCAACGAAAACCACGCATAAGAGGATCAAACTTTTTGATTCGATGACGAATAAGTGTTAGGGGTTGTTTGGTTGGTTTTCTATTATATCTTTTATGAATAAAGTTGACTTTACGTGAATTAATCTGTCTATATAGATTGGAAGAAACATGTTTTTTACTTGGAAGGGCAGCTTCTTATCGAATAAGTCATTTTCCATATCATTGAATCGTTTATCAAACAGTCGTGTATAATTGACTGAATAAGTTGTAGATCCCATTAAGCCACGATTGTTATAAGTGGGCATATTATATGGATGCTTTATCCTTGTTTCTTTGTGTTTCTTTGTCTTGTTTCTTGTTTTAGAAAAAAAATGTCTTGATAAAAGAAAAGCAAGAAAAAAGCCATGATGAATGAGGTTGCACCAACAGACCAGAAATATTATTGTGGGCTCTTTTGGTCTGCTCTTGATTGCAATATGTAACCACAATTATTCCTAACCCTTCATCATACGCCATAAATCAAGGATTCTTGAGAATAATAATTAATTAAATCAAATTAAATCGTTAATTATGATTAATTTTATTCGACTAATTTCGGTATATATCATGTTTTGAATAAAAGGACGAAGCTAAAGCAGACGGAACTGGACTACGAACACTTGAAGAAATGTTGCGAGACGTTAAGGGATGAAAACCGGAGACTCCATAAAGAGCTTCAAGAACTCAAAGCACTGAAATCGTCACAACCCTTTTACATGCAGCTTCCGGCAGCCACCCTCACGATGTGTCCGTCGTGTGAAAGGGTCGGAGACACCAATTCCGCCACCACCACCTCCAAGAACCCTTTTACGATGGCTGCGAAACCACACTTCTTTAATTCCTTCACTAATCCATCTGCTGCCTGTTAATTAATTACATAATTAGTTAATTTTCTTGCATGGTTATTCGTTAATCACATATATATATATAGTTTGAATATGAAAAATATTAAAATCGCCCATGAATAACCCTACCTTTTTTCTGGTGTCAAGGGTTTGGCTTGATTTGATTAGTATAAATTATTTTAGTTGAAAACTATTAGAATTCTGTACTTGTTTTTTTTTTCTTTGCTTGGTTTGTTTGTGAATTAAAAACTATGATATATGTCAATGAAATGAATGTATATATTATTCGGTATATTGTGTTTTTCTTTGTATTAGAAAGGTAAGCATGTAATTTTTATAATTTATGTGATAATTGTGTTTCTTTTTTCTTTTCTTTTTTTTTGATTAAGCTGGATATTCAATCCGTTATGCGAGCCGACTAATCCCAAGGCTACCATCTGCTTTGTGGGTAGCCCGAAGTCACTGCATTTGAAGCTCCATGGCCACAAGGGGATTTTTATTCGTCCTTGGATTTAAACCTGGGACCTCCAGACACTTTTGACCTTTGGAGCCCAAATTCAAACCAATCATGCACCAACCTTATTGTTTGTGTTTCTTTTTATTGACAATGTTTAAACATAATGCTAATTAAATTTGTTTTTGTTTGTAAAAGATGATATAGACAAATGTAATGACATATTGTGATTGACAGCATCTGTCGGGCCTTTCTGAAACGTAGGCGACGCTAGCTCGTTCTTTCTATTTGATTTTAATTATAAACACATACACATACACACACATAATTAATAAATATATTGAGCGATGAAGGATCAAATGAGAATATGTTGGTGATCTTAGTGAAATTTTATCGACTCATTTTAATGTAATTGGATTAACAAAAGGGTATGAAGTTCTTAGTTAAATTATAACACAGGCTACAAAGTTTGTAATGCACGCTCGTATAAGCTAACGATAACCGAGAGATCCCTAGATAGTGCCATATGGTGACGATCAAGGGGTCGTCCCCCCTTCCACAATCCTAGGGGCAACGCCCCTAGCAGATCAAGGGGGTTGCTTATGCGGGGTTTTGGGCAACGCCCCGAAACCACTATGGATTTTATAATTAGATGTGTGCTTAGAAAAATGATAAAGTGAAATTCAGAAGCCTCTGAGTTATCTTCAGAAGCATTTGAGTCTTGTTCAGATGCTTATGATTTTGATTTGCCTCTGACTCAGAGACTTCAGACTCTAAAGAGCTTCTTATCACTCTAAAGAGCTTATGACTCTGAAGCCTTCTTATCATGGTAAGCAATTTGTAACCGGTGTGCAATTAATCGCCCACTAATTACTCCAGCAACGGTTTCCATTTATTGGGGAATCAATCATTTCCATTTTACGGATTCTCGCATTTAATATAGGAGCAGTTATGATTCTCTAAGTTTAAAAGGAAACAATTTATGCCAAATTCGTAACTAGAAAACGAAAATCATCCTCGAGTTAATTTTTTGATACCCGAACAGATTCGGGTCAAAACATAACCTAAGAAAAACAAGTTCTCAAGTTATCTCAGTTTTTTTTCCAAGCTTTATATATATCCCAATTTCTCTAAACTTATTTTTCCAATTCTCCAAAAAAAAAATTGGTCAAAATAAAAAAGCACAAGAACGGTCAATCAGATGTGATGTTGTACTAATATCACATGTGATCACGAAACACAGTCAACATAGGGGTATATGTTGCAGCCATGGTCACGCGAATCATATGGGATTTTATACATGATTTTTAGTATATAATCACATGTGATTTCGCCGTAAGTGTTCGTGTTTTTTATTTCTTTAGTCATTGTTCTCGTTAAACCCATATATATATATATATATATATATATATATATAGAGAGAGAGAGAGAGAGAGAGAGAGAGAGAGCGCATGCATATTGAAACTGATTAGATGTAATTACTTCTTTCAAATAATTAAATCGTACATCATATATAGATCGAAGACAAGACTACATTTATAAGTGTTTTTTCTTGTAAGACTTGACATCGTAATTAATCAAGTGTCCCGATCTAACGTAATTAGTATGTCAACCGAATCGTTCTGGAAGGTAAAGAAAAGAATAAATGAATGTCTTTTTTAGTATATATGATATAAATGAAGATGGTAATTGATATTTTTATGTAACTTAAGAAGGACGACACCTTGAAAGGATAGGAATCCAAACGTCACCATGGCCTACAAATGGAAACCTTTTTATGGTATTCCATGCAATTAAATGCCATTTTGCTTCTTAATGGAGTCTTGTGGACCAAATCTTAAGTTTTCCGAAGTTTCCACGAACCCCACATTTGTTGTCTCACTTGTCATCTCCATTTCACATACATACACACTAAAAGACAAAAACAAAAATGTAAGGACTTGATTATATGAATCAGAATAGATTATAAGCCGGACTGTAACACTCAAGATCACATTTGCATATAAACATATATTTACATATATCAAGAGATAAAATTTACATATTCGGTCTCAATCTCTTACAAAAATAGCTAACAACTTTTTCATCAAAATCACTATACCACGCATGAACACATAACAAATATTCAGATACAAAAAAATAATATGCTAGCCTAATAACTCATGCAAGCATATAAATATCACTTCACAATTTTTCTTTACACTTGTCATTTGGATGTGTCCGACCTGTAATGCACATTTAAAAAACAAAATGAGGGTTAGACTTTGAGGTCTAGTAAGAAATCTCTTTGATACAATTACAGAGTGAATAATCACCAATTCACATTTATGAACTTATATTTGTAAAAATAACAAATATACGTCATTTTGTTATAACAAACCTCATTTATTGCATCCAAATATTCAAATAACTTGATAAACACATTCTGAGTAAACTTGTCGTATCAAATAGATAAATGTATAATTTTCTCGCATCACATGGGTGAGACAACCACATTTTTTTCGCAACACACTGGTGCGAGGAATCCAAGTCATCGCATGATATAGGTGCAATAAACAAATCTTGTCGCATCCAATAGGATACGATAAACCAACTTGTCGCATCACAGCAGTGCGACAAACATACTCCTCGCATCAGAAGGATGCGATAACAACTGTTCATCGAATCAATAGGATGCAATAACTTCAAGTCATCGCATCACACAGACGCGACAACTCAAAGTCATCGCATCACACAGACGCGACAACTCAAAGTCATCGCATCATAAGGATGCGATAGCATAGAACATTTTGATCAAAAACCCAGATTTTATAACTCAATAATTATGTCACCATTATCCTAGTATACATCTCTAATTGGTATGCTACTTTTATCCTAATATACACTTTCCTTGATATGTCACTCTTATAACCCAAAAATACACATCTTCTTAATATGTCACTCTTATTCCATCACATTTGAATTGATTTGTGAATGCTAGTAATATTTTTTCTATTACAATTTATTATCTAAAAGAATATATAATAATAATTCACATGTGTTTTTGTTTGTTTACATAACTATGAGGGTTTGGGATTGAACTCATCAAACAACTCATAAAAATGATGGGATTGGGGTAGAATCCTACAATCCAAATACCCTTTAAACGTGGGACTTAATCCAAATTAATAGAATCGTTAATCGTTACATTCTTTGAAGCCATGCTAATCATGTTCTGAAAGGTCCCAACTTTGATTATTTATAATATCAACTTCAGAAATAATTCATGTCATTTTTTTATAATTAGAAGGGTACTCGTGCAATACAATGAGATATATTTTGATTTTAATGTTTCGCTTTAGTTTTTTGGTCTATGTCGATATTATAATATGAATTTATGTGATTTTGAGCGTAATAATGTTTTTTTAATATAAATTTGAAGATATCATAAGAATTAAAAAAATATATAAAAATTCTCAATTTTTTTGTGTAATTTATTTAATTCAATTTTTTTATTATAATTTAATTTAGGTTTAATGATGAAATAATCTGTTTTAACCCAAAAAGGTTATATTAACCGACTAATGAAAATTTGATAGTTTATTAATTTAAAAAATTCAAGGTCTAATCATTCAAAATGTGAAAATTTAATGATTTTATTATTCAAAAACATAAATTTAGAGACTTAATTATGCGAAATGTGAAAGTTTAATGTTTTTTTTCATTTAAAAAAATAGTTTACGAACTAAACCATTCAAAATAGAAAGTTTGTTGAGTTTTTTTTTAAAATTTTTTCTCTTATTTCTTCAACATTCTTTACAACTCCATCTTCCAAAATCCTAATTAAGAAATTTTGGGCTCATAAAATGGGCCATGGAGCCCAATAGGTTTAATTCAATAAAACCGATTTGTCATTTTCATGTAAAGAAAATAAATTTATTTTACGACTTGATCTGTTGAATTCAATTATCTTTCTTCCGAATGATCTATGAAAAAAAAAACTATTTTTTTTTCTTCATTATCTTTTATACTGTCGTCTTATTGATCCAAATTATCCATTTGTCACATGCAAGTTTATTTCTTTAAATGCATTATGTTCTAACTTCTTACTGATCTTAAGTTTTTCGTAATATTTAATTTAAGGAAGATATTTGATTATTAACGTTGCGTTTTAAATATATTTTAATAATAAGAAATGGAGTATTTTATGTATTTAATAGATGGTATTTAAATTATTTTAAACTTGTTAATTTATAGATTATATGTTTAAGTCCTTCTCATGGTGGCCTTTTCTCTTGGGAAAAACCATAGAATAAAGGTTACTTGTGATACATGTTATTATGCAGTGATTGAGAACTAGAGTTCGTTTACCAAACGCTTATCTGGGTAAGCATTTATTAAGTCACAATATTTTATTGGATGACTATAACAAGGACCAAGAATCTTACATGGTAAGAGCAAAAACTAGGACCGAGAGTCTTACGCGATAAGTGAAGGTGATGGCGCTTGCTCGGTTAGCGCTTACCGGGGAGATTTTTACATACAATGTCGTTTTCATGAACTAAAGTCTTGTTAGGTAAGGTAAGTGATAATGTTGAATTTTACCAGTAAACTCTTACCAAATAAGTGTTTAGTCAACGTCCCCTTAGGGTAATGTGAGGGAATATTTTATATATCTCGTGTTCGATTTCAAATGTCTATAGCGATTGTAATTATTGATTTTTATCAGGGTTGATATCTTACAATCGTAATTTGTCATGATTAGTCTGTGAATAACCTAAGACACCCTTAAAAATACATTATTGACAACTAAATATGTGATTTTAAACCAAAACTGCATTTAATTAAAAATGTCTACAATTTTCTTATTTTTATTTACGTCATAATAGCACAGCACATGTATGTTTTAAAAGAGACAAGATCAATGAAGGCTTAAAAAATCGGCCTACTTAGCCCACTATTTAGGTCGTTGGGTTTAAATGGACCAAAAATAAATACCCAACATACGTAACTAGTTAAAATGGAAATATGTCACACGGATTGAACATGTCGGCTAAATAAGTAACTGGGTTGTCTTTTGAATTGAGTAGCGACCGGTAAGAAGCAGTATTTTTCATCTGTTTGATGATATTATAAAGATCTGACATGTATGTATTTTTAGACCATACTAATAAAAAATCTAAAAAATATTATTTAATAAGATAAAATTATAAAAACTTGTCTACCTAAAATATAAATATAAATATGTTGTAAGAAACTTTTGGGAGATGCAGGCGACAATTTACTACTTGTCATTTAAAGCGTAACTTAATTTAAGAAAACGGGTCAACAAATCAACTTAACCCTCTCTAACGTGCTTATATCTTTATTTTTCGCCTAATTTATAGCAAAGTATTCATTTGGTCTGTTTGGCAGTTGTTGAATGATTTGGTGCAGAATGATTAAGTGATTAAAATGATTAAAAAGCTCTCATGATATAGTGCAAAATGAAATATAATTGTTTGATAATTGTTTGCAATGAAATTAGGGCGCTGAATGGTTAAGGGATGTCTATGATACAAAATCATTCAGATGATTTTAGAACTATTAAGAGATATTTTTTTTTGTCAAACAAGATTCACCTCTTAACAATTCAGAGACTGCCTCTTAATGGAACTATTAAGAGGTAAACAAACAACAATCAAAATCATAAAAAAAAAAAAAAAAAAAAAAAAAAAAACATATATATATATATATATATACACACACACATACACATACATACATACATATATTTATATATGGTTGGGTTCCGATGAGAAGGAGAGTTAAAGAGATAAACATAAGAAAATATCTCCATCATTGAATACATACTATGATGAAATGCGCCGGATCAATTCCCGTATGAAGCACGGTTCATAAGTGGGTTTGAAATTAAAGATGATCAAGGGTCCAGATCCCTTCTTACGCTTTTTATTTTAACTCTCTTTCTCACACGATCATTCGCCTATTTATATATAGTATTATGAGACCCTTTTTAAAAGACATGCACAAACATTATTTCAATAATTCAAAATATTGTCAATACATACGTAACAAATCCACACTAACAAGGACATTGTGTACGGTACAATTACAAATTCAGCCCCCATATACATATACAATATCCAATGGCTTTATTTTATCACACAAATATAAATAAACTTCTCGGTCCCACCTGCCAACTGACTGAAATGGTCGATCGACATATATATACGTACATACATACATATCGTGCACATGGAATTAATTTTATCTCCAGTTATGCATCCAGTATGGTGAAGACGAAATCAATTTAAATTCCAGCAACACATTCTGGTGGTGTGACGGGGTAGCGATGTTTATCAGTGCAATAATCATAGACCAAATGGTTCAAGCGTACCCATCGGTAACGACGAGCCGCCATCGGGTCAAGTTGTTGGTAGCTCGAACCCTCCCACCAGTTGGAAGGGTTCGAGGCACAGCTGCTCGGACCCGGGACGGCACACCCTTCAATGTCAAAATCCTTATAATATGCATAAAAAGGTGCTTTCTTCCAATCAATTTTTTCCAGCCCACCCCTTGTTGCCCAGTCATCTGCTTCCCATAATGTAGAGTAGACTCCCATTGGCTGAAATTTAGGGAATGGGACCCCTCTACCTTCATTGTTCTTGTATACCCTTATGGGCACTTCGTCCACAGAAAACCTGTATCATATCAGTTTTTTAAATTTTTAATTAATTTATTATATTTTTAATTCATTAAATAACAATTTTATCTAACTAGAAATGTAATCACTTATTTCGGGGATATATATATTCGGACTTACACAACATGATGATGGTTCCATAAGATGGAGTAGGTGTGGAAGTCGGCAGCCGGGTCGAACCAAAGGTTAATCCTTTGTTCTCGATCACCCTTCCCGTGAGCATACACGTTGGTTTGGACCGAGTACGGCTGCCCGGTTCGGTTCCCCAAAAACTCAAAATCTAATTCATCACGCACTTGATCGGTGTCTGAATTCATCTGCCACCCAAAAATCAAACATAACCATGAACCAAAACAAACAAAACAAGTTATCGAAAATAAAATGTTAAAGTTAGTTCAATTTCTTTATAATAATAATCGTACATAAAAAGCAGCAACAGTGCCAGCGGAGTCTCCAGGAATGAGCTTGATCTTCATGCTCACACGTCCGAATAAGTATTGGCTTTTCGAAGCGAACCCACATCCTGCATCAAGTACGTACCCATCAATGCATATAAAAAAAAGATAGCGTTTTCTAAAAAAGAAACCTAGTGGATCGACTTAGGTACCTGAATTTTGGTCGAGAATAAGCTGAATGGCCCTGCCGCCATCGAGTTGCCTGATGTGTGAATCGGACCATGTGATACGGAAATCTTGGAGGAACGTAGCCGGTTTAGCATCGACCACCGCAGATGGTGTCAAGAACACGATTAGAAAAACAAAGATTACAACTTTATTAGAAAATTTTGTCAACGAAAAAGCCATTTTGACCATGGACTTATAAAATATTTGTCTTGTGTACGTGTGTGTGTAATATGTGTGTTTTTATGTGGATGGATAGATATAGATCGGGTGTATATATAGCTTTAGATATATAGATATATAGTGTAGGGTAGTTTATATATGGGAATAGTAGAGAGGGGCCTATGGAAATTAAGTTCGCTTTCCATACAGCTCATTTTATGCTGCCAATCGGCCCAAACCCTTTCACCTCTACAGTCTGATTGGATATGGATTCAATTTAATAGAACCTTCCTCCATCAAAATTAATATAAGTTATTTAATTTAACTTATAATTTTGAAATGGACCGTTTAGTTAAATGTTTACTCGGTAAGTGCTTAATGTTAGGAGTCTAACACTATAATTTATTTTATTGAGTAAGATTGTAGTACATCAAAACATATCATATACAACAATTTACCTGGTAAGTGCTTACCCGGGTAAGAGTCATCACCCTCACTTACCGGGTAAGACTCTCCATCCTTATCATCGCTCTTACCGGGTAAGATTATTGGCCATTGTGATCATGTTCATCCGGTGAGGAAAATTACACAGTAAGTACTTATCGGGTAAGCGTTTAGTAAACGGCCCCTAAGTCCATAGATATATTAGCTATTTATGGGGAAATCTTTGCTGACATATTGTAATTATAGGGAGTACGGTATCTGTATAACATATATTACTGACTTCTGTGTGACTTATAAGTCACAAAACCTAATTTTTATTTAATTTGTCGGTTGAGTTGAATACTGATAAACGATAAATTGTTGATAGAAAATACGGAAAATTAATATTTTAATAAATTAATTAAGGGAAAATGAGTGTTTAATTTGTCGGTAATATAGTTAACCCATAACCCTAGCTTACATAAATTCGTATATGCTTCCGATGGGGACAGAGACAGACCATGCATGCATGCATCCATGCAATTCCCTTTGTTTGACTTTTGTATTTCATTTTTCAACTATGGCGCTTCACGCCGTAACCATTAAAAAAACATTTTCTGAAATAATTACAAAATCAGATAAACAGATACAAATGTAACCAGTTTTTAGGGGTTGTTCGACGATGATTGAAATCGGACCTGATTTATAACCGGTTAAGGAAGGGATGATTTTTTACAGGTGCGTAACAAATCAGGTATGACCGGTTAACCTAACTATAGATCATACATTGGGTCCAATGAGACCGGTTAGAAAGAATGAACGGGATTTCATTGAAATTCAGACTTTTAATTCTGGATGTTCTTTTAAACACCAAAAGTCGATTAGAATAGAATCCAATTTCAAAACGCACACTTAGTTTATACTTAAAACTATATATAATAAACAAGAGTTGAAAACAACCACCGGATAGCCTAACGATGTGTTCTCGAATTTAAAAAAGAAAAAAAAGTGAAGGACAAGAATGGAAAAAAATATTTGTGTTTTTTGAGAGCGAACAAAAAGAAAGAAAGGGAAAAAATCGAGTATCATGTTATGGATAAAAAAAGAAAGGAAATGAAAGATGTCAATTTTACAAATACACCCTTATTTATTTTTGAAGAAATTGTAATCGATAGAGAGATGTGTAATGTTATAAATATTTTTAATTATTTTATTTCTTTCCCTTTCTTTTTATATTTGGGAGGAAAATCAATCTTATTTTCTTTGTTTTCTCTCTTAAAAAACTCGAGAACACGAGAATTTTTCTTTCCTCCCATCCTATCAATCTCTTTCCTTTAGGATTTAGTTTGGAACCTAGGTTTAACAAAAATCTAGTATGGTAAGTTGTAATTGCTTGGAAAAACACACACACACACTCTCTCTCTCTCTCTCTCTCTCTCTCTCTCTATATATATATTTATATATATATATATATATATCAAGATACACTACAACAAAATTGAGTTTATAGAACGCCCACAATCTCTAAGCGTCATAAATATACCGCTTTATATGACCAAAATATAAAACGTTCTATCTAAAGGTGTTGTAATAAGTTTATATGATGCTATTGGGTGTTTTAACAAGTTTTTAAGGACATTTTTAATATAAAATGTCGCATTGGCAACTTTATATGATATTTTTTAAAAAGTGTCCTATAAACTCAATTTATTATAGGACATTTGTTTTTGTAGGACAATTTTCCAAATAATGTCTTATAAAGTTGCTAGTGGGACATTTGATGTTAAAATTGTCCTAAAAAACTTATTACGACGTTAAAAAGGTCATATAAAATTATTACAACGTCTTTAGATATGACATTTTATTTTTCTGGTCCTATAAACTAAGTCCTATAAATAGGTCTATTATGACACTTAGAATTTGGGAGTATTCTATAACCCCGATTTTGTTGTATCGGTATCTTCATTTTGAGTTTAAGTCATGAGATCTTAAAAATTGTTTATGATGTTTTATTGGGTGTTTTGAGATGCCAAAGATATTTTATTTCATCAAATGTGATTTTTTTCGATATTTGGATGATTTGGGCAAAATGTTGTTTTCACCCTTGAAAAGGGTAACTTGGATTAAGATGATTTCAGTAGGTTTGTAAAATGGGTTTAAAGGGTTATTGACCTTAGGGGTGAGCATAGGTGGGTACCCGCCCTTAATCGGAACCGGAACCGGAACCGGTGGTTCTTGAGATATTGGAACCGAAATCAGTTAGAGCGGTTCTTGAATTTTTGGAACCGGAACCGGTTCCGGTTCCGGGTACCTACTTCCTAAAATATTAAAATTTTGTTATTTAGAAATAAAAAATAAAAAATCGCCAAAACACTAAATAAATAAACAAGAATACAAATTATACAGAATAATGGTTACAAATATTGTTTAACGATTACAAATCATAATAGACTAATAGAAAATGTTTAAAGTTTAACGATTACATACTATAATGGTAAATGTTAAAGTTTAACAATTACATACTATGAATCCAATTGAACACATAATTTGAAAAAATACGAATCATTTTATATGAAGAATTTAGATGAAGAATGAAGATGACGGCGTGCTTTCAAGATGTAAACCTAATATAAATTTGGTATTAAAAAATAATTATTATTTTTTTATTGAAAAATACCAAGTACCCGGAGGGTAACGGTTCCGAAAAATTGAGAACCGGAACCATTCTCAATCAGTTCCATATTTTAGGAACCGGAACCACTCATATCGGTTTCGGTTCCGGAACCGGCGGTTCCAAGGCAGTTCCGGTTCCGTAGCCGTATACCCGGTTCCGCTGCTCACCCCTAATTGACCTTATTTGAGATCAAATGTTATTGTAGGATATTACCCATCTTGTTAACTTTTGATAGCGGCATATTAGTCATTTTTGCTAGTAAGCATACAAATATTTGATAAACGCTTTTCTTTGGCTTTATGAGGATTTTGAAAATACAAACCATATGGTTTAGAATCTTTTGACTATTGTGCTTCAATGAAGTGATGGTTTATGGACCTATTCATATTATAGGTGCCATATATTTATTAACCGTTGGAAATTATGTATTTTCAGCTTATGTGGTTTATATCGACTTAATTAAATTAGTCAAGTGCTTTGAGGGGCCTATCAGCTTGATTTTAACTCAGTTGAGTTTTAGAGACAGTTGTCCAGTTTTAATAGCTCAATGAGGCGCTTTAGACGTATAATGCTTTTGTTCCATATTTGTCGGATGTTACATGTTTTGAGTGCGTTATTCATTCAATTAGAGTCATGCAACTTTTAAACTGTAATGCATTATATTCATAGGCATAAGAGTCTATTTTATTGTTTAGCCTGGAGTTTTGATGTCCACACTTAAGTCTAGCGAGTGGTCCCCAAGTCATGGGAAGAGAATGTGTTGTGGTACTCTATTGGTCGTATAAGGAGCTATTTGCCTGTGATTATACTTGGTTGAGACTCATCAAGAGGTCGAGTAGACACCAGGGTCATTGTGGAAATCTTGTTGTGGTACTCATTGGAGTCCTATACGAGGATCCATAACCCGAGGTGAAACTCGAGAACATTGATAAATGACTTACTTTTATGTTCCCGCCACATTCGATGGAATCGAGTTTCCCTCATCACTTAAAGATGATGTTTTCAGGTATTCCGTTACCCATGTTTTCGGTGTTCTGAATATATAGTTTTATCTATATAATTGGTGTTTTGGAGTTGCGGCTCGCACACATTTTCGGGTGAGTTCAAATTTTGGTTATTTATCTAAAACGGGTGTTTGAATTGAAAATGACGAGCTTTGTAAATATATTCCTTTTATGACGTGTGTTTTATAAAATGAGTCGTTGTTTAAAGGAAAATGTTCGTTTTAAAGGTCTTATGTTTGATATGATAAGATTGTTTTAACTCCATAGACATTAATTCTACTATTAATTATTATTTTTCTTATAAAATTACTAAAAAACAAATTCATTTTTCATTATTTTTTTTTCCTAAAATATTGACACAACCGTCTAATTGCGATCACATATCAGTGGTGGGCCTGCTAATGTACATCTGGAATTCTGGATCGAGGCTGTCGCTTATCAGGTGGGCCAGAAGTGTCATAAATCAGCCCATTTATCTCTGTATCCGTTAAAGATCATTTTTTAAAACTAAACCTTGAAGTTTTGATGAAACTGTTTCATGTATTTCTTTAAAATGAAAATCACTCTCATTTGTATAGACCGTATAAACCACCCTCATATATCGATTTTATTGTTTAATTTTATGAAATTTTTTCATGAAATTGTTTAATCTTGTGAAATTGTTTCAAAATAAAATATAAGTCTAACATCATTGACATCATTTATTTCTAAAATAAGATATAATTTGTACACAAAATATTTAATATTTTTCAGGTCTGAAATTATTTCAAATCATTAATTTACAAATTATTAGTAAAAAACAACTACATTTAAGGTTGGGTTGGGGGTGGGCACATGATCTTGTTTATTGCAGATCGTGGGCCTGAGGCCCGATTAGGAAAGACGCAATAAGGACTAGTAGGTATAAAGTTAAAGTCGAGCCACTTGTTTTTGCCTCCATGGCCCATGGCCCGTCAGATTTGGGCTTTAGTTATCACTGTCCACGTG